GACTAACTTTTACTTATTGCAAATACACAATAGGAAAAAAGGGGGTAAATCACTGATTAGATGATCTGTTCTCAGTAGCAAATCTCTTCTTCCAGTAATAACAATGAATAAAGCATAGAAGGTGTGTAGCAATTCTACAAAAATACCGTATTTTTGGCATCTGATGTACCCTCCCTACACACATACATCATATATTACGTGAAGGCTTATTTTATGTACTTTTATATGAGGTATGATATGGAGCTGTCAAGTGGTACAGTAAGCTTGAAGGGCACAGTGAAACAATGGCACCCAAATGAGTGAGTCATTTTTTGCAGTTCTGGAAACACATACCATATGTACCATATGACTGACTACAGTTTTTTACTGTTCATATTAATTTCAACACTATAATTATTTATTGGTCAAAACTGCCAAACATCAATGTATTGAAGTATTTTTATTTGTTTTGCATGGGCAAATATTTTTTCCAGGAATGATTAAGGTGTTTCATACATGGCAAAAATGGCAACTATCTACATTTTTGCAAATAATTACATGCAATATTTCACATAATATTCTTAATGGTCAAAGTACATCATGAGTGATAACAGTTTTCTATATTTTCAGCTGAAATTTGATGAACAGATTAGTCACACACCAAAAATACTGTGCATTACAAGCAGCAGATTGTGTACCTATAGTTTATACTACATAGTGGGCAGATATAAATTCACCTGAATTGTTAAAATAATACTTCTCCATTTGTAAGCTTTTGTACATACAGTATAGTCTCTAGTTTGTCTGACAGACAGTTTTAATTTAATTACCTATGCATGCAGTACTAATCTTTGAAATATACTAGAAACTAGATATTTAATTCAGTGACACATATGCACAGGTCATTGTTAGTGTTAGAGATCATAAAGACAGCTTCATGTTATGAATATGCAATAGCTATGAGAGAAAGAAGCAGCTTAACGAAGTAGTGAAGACAAAGTCTACAAACAAGTCCTTGCCTCTGCACTGAAGAAAGATGAAGAATATGTACAAATTTCTTGATTGAAAATAGCAGGTGCTGGCAAAGAATAAATGGAAAGATTTGAGAGGAGCATTTCATTTTCATGGGACATGGAGCTTCTTCAGCCCAGTCAAGAAATCTGGCATCAAAACATTTCTTGACATGGTGAAAAACAGCATGCAAAGAAACTACAGTGTATAGCAGAGATGTCACCACTGTCATATAAATAATGGCAGGACACAAATTCCACACATACAATGAACTGGTTACTGAGTACTTTAGGTGGGTTCTAAAAGCTAACTCTGTACCTGAAGTCTTTGACAGAAAACTGCAGAAAGACAACACCAGATAGGATCTAAGGCTGGGTGCAAAAGATACTGGGTCTGGTGGACACTGTCCTTCCTCAGAAAGAGTTTTTAAACATGGCATCTAAGAAGCAATTACTTGTAAAATTTCTCTGTGAACAAATGATTCAAAGTGCACCTGAGAGTGTAGGAACATGCCAACACAAACACTCCTCCTTGCTGTATGCTTTTTCAATATGTAGTAAAGTCCATCACCACTAAACATGTTGAAGAAGCCCAAGACGTGAACAGACTCAGGAGGAAATGGACACACAGATGCTTCTGCATACTCTATGTGTCAGAGTGGGCTTGGGGTTTCTTGGCTGTCAAAGGAACTATAACTATTAGGTCATCTGACAACTGATTTGGACCATGCTGTTCAGTACTTTCCAAAAATGGAATATGCAGATAACGTGGTCTGAAAGAGACACCGCTGAAAGTACAACTAACAAGCATTGCTTCATACTTGTGCACATGATCCGTGGCACACTAACTCCTGACTTTCAGAACACAGGCCCGTATGCAGGAATTTCTGTGTGGGGGTATGCTTTTTTTGTAAACGTGGACTGCAATTTTTTTTTAAATATAAGGGAGTTCAAAACAGTCATGCACTGAGTGTGCATAACACAGGTTAATGAAAAATTTGAATGGAAACAATGATTGGTAAAATGGTTTTGTCATAACATACTAAAAATGTATCCAGTAATAAAGGTTATACAAAAATTACTTTCTGGTATCTTACTGTAATATCGTAAGTGAAAAGCAATATTCCACAATAATCTAGTCTTTGTTGCAGTGAAATTATGGCTTGTCACTATTATATGCATGATTAACTATTTTATCTTTGTGACATTAGTTGCCAATTTAGGATAATGTGGCTTGTGTCTCCAGGACTGTGTTTAGAGCTGTTGGAGCTCTGGGGTGGGATATTCAGTGTGGAAGTTCCTTAAGCTCCTTGCTACTCATTTCTTTTGTTTGCAAGCAGCCAACTGGAAACTACTAACCGGCCTCATCTGTTTCCTCCAAACTGGGACCAATTGGCACTCCCTGACATAGGGTACAATGTACTCTTTGACCTATTGGCTCTATTCAGGAAGAGGATTTTCCTATGCTTGTTTCTTGTGAAAGGTAGACCACTTAAAATACAGCCCTCAGATTAATGAGAGGAGGTTCATGTCATGTTTCCACTGAAGTGTGCAAGATGGAAATATACAGTTGGCATGTTTGATATAAACATGTCCACTGGGAAGTGAATTGAGATCACCATCTCATTCCACAAAAGTGCATATGAATGAACAACCATCAGATCATAATGACTTTTTGGCCATTTGATCTTGACTCCAGCTAAGGAATTAGACCATGAAACTCCATAGCTCAATGCTGGTTTTATCCCCATCGGTATTTTTAAATTAATATTCTGCAGCACTTCATAATGAGAGGAATTCTGAAGATCATCATCAAGATGTACAAAATATTAAGGAGAAACTTACAGCTTCTCTCATTAAAATGTCTACCACTATGATTACAAAGCTATTTTGAAATAATTTGCTACAGTAAAGTTAGTATTGCTTTTCAAGTGTGAAAAAACTTCTAAGTAGGGGTGGGCCCTGGAAAAATTTGGAGTGTAGAAGAACTTGTTTTCTTTATTGAAATTTGATCAAATTAAAATACACACTTCTGTGCCCAGGTGAAAAATACCCAAAATGACTAGAAGAAAATGAACAACTTGAAAAAAATTAATTTTGCTTTACTCAAACATTTTGATTCTAATTTTGAAAAAACAACAAACCTCATAGATTTCTTAGGTTGCAATAGACCTTCTCTCTCCCTTCAGGTCTGGGCTGCGGGGGGGGGGGGGGGGGG